TGTTCTAATATATTTCGGTCTTTTTTGCTGATTTTTCTACTTGTAAATTACCTTTAAATACCTAAAATAAAACTAATCTTTGCTTTTCTTTTATTTTCTCTAAAACAATCCATACACAGAATCCTAGTTACGGCAAACAAAGCGATATGCTAATGGATGAGGAATCCTTGGACAAAGAACCATCGCCACCACTTGTTAGACCATTGCATTGCCTAACTTCGACGGCCACGGTCCTACGTAATTATCGCCACAATCCAATGATTGGTGGTCCAGATGTTTTACCTTCGCCGCCATTTGGTCCTACCGGTAATAATAACACCAGCGCTGGCAGCGGCAGCGGCAGCGGCAGCGACGACGCGAGCCCACCTGACCTGACATCGGCCGAAACTGAATCCACCTCGGATAGCGGCATTGATGACATCAGTCTAGTTGACGCTTCCTCACCGGTGAAGATATCGTTGGACAATCGCAACAGCGCAATTTCGAAACCGCTGAGTGGTTGCTCAGCAGCCACTAAAGATATGCTCTTGATAAAGTGCTTGACTAGCAGAGCAGCCAAAAAACGTGGTGCAATGGACGCACTGGCCATCGAACCACAATTTAAGCAACAACAGCCGTTTTCTTCAGTAGACAACTCAAGCAACGATGGTGGTAGTGAGGACAGCAATGATGGTGACATTAACGAAGCTCCTAATGGCAATCGGGGCCGAAAGCGATTGTTGGACGACATAAATCCACTCATGGAACCGTTTATAATGGACTTGTGCAATGATGACTACGATGTGGCGGCTACCGAACAACTCCTAGGAAGCAACGGAATCGAAGACGTACTCAGCGATTGGACGCACGAAATGGCCTAGCTGAAGCAAAACATGACTAACACCGGACAAAAGAATCAAACCAAACAAAGGCAAAAACGACAACGGCAAGGGACATGGAATTCGCGGACACAATAGAAAAAAGTCAGAGTTTATAAATGGGATCCAGGGGGAAAAATATTACAGGAAGAACGATTGAAAAGCAGTTGTACTAAACAGAAAAACATATGCATTTAGATGTTGGCTGACAATTTCATGATGATTTCTAAAATCGATGCAACGAGAAGTCAGTCTTTCTTCTTATTGTTAGGGAATATGAGATAAAATTCAGGAAAATGCTTTTATAAAATAAATCAAAAAAAAAAACTCAAGTTTGCGAGATAGCTGAATGTAAAACAAAAACAAGTTTATTCAAATATAGAAAACAAGTTGCTTTGTGCATTTATGCTTACATACTAAATGTATATGTATGCACAATATTTGGAATATTACTTTTAACTCACTCAACAATATTGCTTTGGATATTATAAATGTACGCTTGCACAAGTGAACGCTTCATTGACGATTGACGATGATAATGATTCTTGAAAAATCAACTTCGCGCCAGCACTAATTCTTGATTTAACTACGTTCCTAAGCAAATTTAATTCGCTGCTATTTCCAATATTCCATTGTTTCCATTTAGTTTTTCAGCGATTTATTTTATCAATCATCTTGAGTCGATTCATTAGTGCATGCAGGTTACATTTTTAGTAAAAGATTTTTTATTTTTGTATTCTTTATTCATGTCTTAATTGGGATGTAAACATGGTATCGTGTTTTTGTGTATTATTTAGTTACAACAGGTCACACGCAGCTGTAATATTTGCACTTTTATCCGAGTTAAAAAAATATCCCACATAAACATGCAATAAATACATACATACAGCCATACATATGTTGCGAAGGGTCAGAAAAAAATTCAAAAACAGCAAATACAAAGAAGCAAATGCATGTAAACACATTTTAGTTTTAAATTTTTACTGCCCAAAACAGAAGTCAGTAATAATTGTGGGTTTAATTGTATAGCACTAAATTTTACATGCAACTCTGTTAGCACTCAGTTAAAAAATGGGGGAAAAAAGTAAAAAAAAAATTAAAAATTAAAAATGTCATAGTTCTTGCATACCATTTATAAAAGAGAGTTTCCTTTAACTTACAAAAGTTCAAAAAGCTCGAGCGCCCCGAAAATTTTACTGAATTGTTGAAAGGTATATGCAAATTTAGAGAAAATCAAATATAACATAACATAAAACATACAAATTATATAGCACACCGTAAAAACTCTAAAAAATCACTAATAAATAAAGAAATTAATCTAAACGTAAATATTTTTATATTCCGGTTTTCATACTTTTTAATTTATTAGAGAATAAACTGGCTTACAATAAAAAATCAAAACCTCTAAATAGAGCACAAACTATGCAAGGCTATGAAAACAAAAAAAATTTATTTATATGTAAGCGTAATTATAGGAATAAAATGTTTGAAAACAAAAAAGAGGAAAATCAAATGTTTGCATATTAGTTTAAGATTTTTATCAAAAGAATCGCGGACGAGGGTATTTCACAGCAGGCTAGCGAGAAGGTTTGAAAAATCCAAAAATACATACATATGTACATTAGTCTGTATCACTCCTCATACAAAAAAAAAAAAAAATAAATCGGTACTATTTTCCCATTGGAATTATAAAATCTATTATATTTTAAGACGTCCACCACAATATTTCGGAAAAATATTAAGATTTACGTGAGCTGGAACGGTTTGAAAATACCTCTAAAAATGGAGTTTTGAAGAATAAAAATAGTTTCTTAAAGATTTTTTTTTTAAAAAGGTCCTCTCAGATGACAAAACAGATTAAGCTTAAAAATCTGCATAAAAATATAAAAAAAAATTTTTTTACATTGTGAACGGAATCGTAATGATGAGATCTTAGATGCTGTTTTTTAACTTTTTTCAAAGATTGGTATAAGAAAAACATGAAGAACTGAACATAAGCTCTTCCGCTTTAGACTTTTGAGATATCATTGGAAAGGTCTTTTCTCACCTTTTAATTTTAATTTGCTAATAACCTCATTCAAACGATGAAAGAGAAAGGACGGATGAACGGACATCATTGAAAGTTGAATTAAGATGTATTGGTAATAGAAAAAAAAAAATAAAAATTGGAACACGAGTGACCTGCTTTAGACAGAAATAAAAACAGCGTGAATATATCTTTCTACTGAGATCCCATAAGTCTAAATCAGAATAGTTTCGGCCCAGTTATGCAAGTTTTTCGTAAATCAATCTTTGAAAAAAATTAAAAAAAAAACAGCATCAAAAATCTCATTCTTACGATCCCGGCGGAAAACCGCACCTTTTTTTGGGTGATGCAGTCTAATGTACATACGTTCTCGCAGTACTAGCTCAGAGAAAGTTAAGGTGAAGCCACGAAAAAGTGCAGTCACTTATTTTGTGGAAATTTGGAAAAGGTCTTGTTGTTTTTATTTTTCTTCTACATATATATGTATGTAGTGTGTTAAGTTAAACGAAATTACAATTTACATTCAATTAAAAATTTTAAAGAACGCATGGGAATGAAAATTGTCACATCTGATGGACGGTGTTGATTATTCGGTAAATATCTGGTAGAAAACGGATTTACTAACGCAGGGTAACAAATTAAGTACGAAGTTTTAAGGTGACCGGGAACAGGTCGTGTAACTTACAAAGCTATATAAAAAGCATCTTAAAAATTTTCTACGCAGTCATAAAAAAAAAAATTAAAATGGCTACTCGGAATTAACAGTTTTTGGCTCAGTTATATATTAGGCAATTTCAATATGAATTTTGAAAGAAGAATATGTATATGAAGTTAAAAAAATTATGAGTAACGATGAGGGAATTCAAAAAATGGTCAAACAGTTTTTTTGTGGATATTTTCCATCTTTGCGGCATTTTGTCAATAATTTTATTCAAACATTTCTTTAGCGTCAGATGTCGGAATCGATTTTGGAAGTACTTGGCCTACAGAGGTAGAAGTTTTTTACAGTTTTTTACAAGTAACAAGATTGTCATAACTAGTATTGTCACAATTAAATACCTTTTATAAAGTTTGAAAACTATTTGTTCTTATTTATAGAAAGGTCAAGAACATTTTAATATTTATGACAATAAGACTTTTATGGACACCTTCTGAATCACCAAAATACGGTTTACATTTTATGTACTTCTTTCAAATTTATCAAAACCCGCCTTCGATTCGCCACTTCTGAGCTCGCCAAGTATCTCTTGTTAAAAAATGTGTTCGGGTATATGAAAGCATCAACAAAGTTATCCACCTGAATTAAAGACGAGAAAATATGGGGATTCCTTATTGATTCGGTCCATTAGCCAAGGTTTAAACTTTTGTGGACTAAGTGCTGTTAATATGAAAATCGATAGTTAAACCCTTGTCAGTGGTTAACCCACCCACTGCGAATTCGTCTCTACTGTTAAGTATGAACGCAGTTTATTTGATCTAAGTTTAAACTGGCACTGAAAAACTGGTTCTAAATGCTGGTGAATCGAAGGCGGCTTATATTACTGACCGACCTATCAGTCAAGGCGTAAGGTGTGGCAATTTTTTTATAAGGCATTTTACAAGGAATTGTAAGGTTATGTATTTTGAAGTCTCGTTTAATATTTTGAAAACTTTTTAATCGAATATTGTGCAAAGATTTATGCGCTGAATTAAAAAAAAAAACACTTTGATTTGCCGAACAATAGATGTGCATACATATGAATGTATTTTTATTTAGAAGTAATTTTAATATCTTAAATCCACAAATTCACTTATAATTTTTTAATTAAGAATTGATCAGAATCAATTGAAATAGTAAATTTGAAAAAGAATCAATATAAGGGACTGAAAAAAGATGGAATCAGAGTTGCATCGTCATATTTAAATGCTCTTCCGAAAACAGCAACCATACGTCAACGACTTACGACAAATAAAATACCTTGTGAATTGGCCGTACATACATATTTTGTAGTCTTTTTACAGTTCATTTGCTTTTTTATTATTTCTGTTTTGGCAAACATTTACATACATATACACAAATACATATTGTAATTATGATTTCAATATATACTCTAAATAAATATTAATTGAATGGTAAATTGTAATAAAAAATCAGCAGTGTTGCCACTTTGAAAATGTAGTGAAAAAAGTAAGTATAAAAAATATTAAACAAAGTTCACATGCGTTCTTATAAGCTCCGCCAACCGCATATCTGGCGTGGACCATCGGCATGCGGGATATGCCAGCACACAGCTGGTATCTGATTTAATTTTGCCAGCCTTTATGGCTCTCCTTAGATCCTCGTAAGGTACCAGCGCATCCAAAAGCCATCCGTAGCTGCTGACTCCATCAATAATTTTTTGTAAGCTTGTCGCCCGTCCCTGATGGACATCTTTGCTGGACTTTTGTAGCCATAAACAAATGGATTTTTGTACGCAAGCTGCTATGTCTACGTCATTGTCCGAGAAAGTCTCGGCGATGTGAGCCAGTAGGCTGGGTAGTGTGGTCTCTGTGTGGAAAGAATTTAACGGGTTAAAATGTGAAGCTGCAATCGCCCCAAGGATTGGTTTCAAAATGGAAAATTTAGTAGTATAAGTATCAGTATAATGAACAATTGACAAATGATAATGACAAATTCTTCCCGAATTGAAATTGAATTGAATCTCAGAGATGGTCACATACTAAGCTGGTTTAGATCCGATCATTGGATCATCATATATGATATATATATATATAGATAACTGGAATCGGTTTTGTTTTTTTACTTAAATTAAAATTTTAAATTACATACACACATATGTATGTTTGTATGGTGTTTCCTATTAAAATACGATCTGTATTTTTAATTGAAATTACTTGATTTTGATGCCAGAATAGAAATTTGACGGAAATTTGGTTGGCTAAAACCAACTATGCGCACGATTGCTAAACTTACCTACTCTTTCGCCTGTACCATTTTTGTAGACTAACTTGAAGTGTTCCAAAAGACTTCTTGCGTCGTTTGTATAATCCTCTACATTGGAAGATCGTTCGTCTTTGCTCATAGTTTTCTTAGTTTGCCTCCCTTCTCCAATGCCATTACTTTTCTCAATTTCAACTGATTCGGACTCGCCTTCAGCCGTACGCGCCTGAAATACATTAAGGGAGCGTATGATGTGAGCCACAAACAAGCTGCCACCGGCCAATAGACCGCTGATAACCAACGATCCTGTGTTGATATTCACCATAGCCTGCAGTGATGTAATCGTTTAGTAGTTATTTGCACGACAATGTTCCTCACTTTAAAAATTAATTTTTTGTTTTATTTCATTAATTAGTTAGTACTTAATGTAAAAATAACTTATTTTCTAAGAATTATGTTAGTGAACTCCTTATGGATGCAGCATTTCCCTTGCACTTTCAACATGATTTTTTATTGGAAATTTGAATAAAAGTAATTTAGCTGCCATTGTTTTTTTTTTACGCATACCCCCTCATTTTATTGGTGTTATCTTAAAAAATATCTGAATAAAATTTTATGCAATTCCGACCACGGCAATCCGTGCCGACTTGCAGTCAAAGTTAACAGAATAAGCTTGTTGCAGTTCGCGTGTTTTGTTAATTTACTCATTTTACTTCCTTATAAGACGGTTTTACTATACTCCCTACAGTATTAGGACATAATATTTAGTGAATCAGCGTTTTTGGTTTTTTACCTGGCAGTCAGAATTTTTTCCATAGGACCATAAGTTATAAAAGTTTACACAAAATATGGAGATATGGGTATCAAATGAAAGAAAAATTCGAAACAAGATTAACTATAACTTTTATTTTCAATTATCCTTCTGGAACATGTCGAAAATGTCCTTTAAAAATATTATCCTTCAAGATTTGTAATTTTAAATGAGTTTTGAAGAATCTTAGTTTAATTTAAATCTTATTAATATCTATAAGGATACTAAAGGATAAAAATTTCAAAGGATATTTTTAAAATTTTCTAATTAATACTGCCACATTTATTCTTTAATTAACCCGAGAGGACATGTCAAACACTAAAACACTTTATTTTGTTTCTTTAATATTATGAAATGCATTCTTTTAAAGGAGGAAAAGAATTTGTTAAAAAAGTTGAATATAAAAATTTGATTAAAAAATGGTCTAAAATTGCAAATTTTCAGGACATGCACAAATTATTCGACTAAAATAATAATGTAATACACCCCTTGAAATCCATTATGCTTTTTCCATTAATTAATTTTTTCGATGTCCTTGGGAGAAATCCTACCGTACATACATATATATCTTTTCTAGTAGAAAAATTTGTGTATCTCCTGAAAACGTGCAATTCTGAATATTTTTTAATTGGTGTGACAGGGCGTATGATGAATACAAAATTATTAAATTCAACTTTTCCACTACATTCATTTTTTTAAACAAAATGCCTTACAAAATATTAAATAAACCAAATCATATGCTTTCATATTTTATATGTCCCTTCAGACTGTTCAACTGTTGTAAATCAGTACGATATGAAAATTATATTTAGTTAAATTTTTTGTATGTCATACGGAAGTACAACCATTATATCAACCCGAGAGGACATGTCCAACAATAAAACGAGTTATTTTGATTATTTAGTATTATGAAAGGTTTTTTTTAAATGAGGATAAAAATTTGTAATACAGGTTGGATTTAATAATTTAATGTTCATCATACGCCCTGTCACACCTATTAAAAGATGTTCCAAAGTTGTCATGGACGACTTGGCAGCCTTAGTTCAAGTTATTAACTAAAACTTCAACTAAAAGTCGGCACGGGTTATCGTTAGCCTACGACCATAAAACTTCATATATATGCTATTTAGGTTAAAAAGCACAAATATAGAGGATATGCATATCAAAATTTGCAAACAAGCTTTTTTCCATATATTCTTGGGACAGTCTAATGTACATAAGTATATACATATATTAGGGTATATCACTATCCATACAAAAAAAAAAACTCAGTGCGTATAGTTCCTACGCGCAGAAGAAGTTGAAACTTAATAGAGGAAATGCCAGAAAAAGGGAATGTGCGATATACACAAACATGTACATATTTTCTAATATACAAAAAACGTACACTGCCGGAATAAAGTATTGCCACAGAAAATTTTTCACAATATATTCAACAATTTTCATTCTAATATTTTCCCGCTAATTTCGTATAAAAATATGGTTACCTCTACAACAAAAAACATAAAAACATAATTCCTAAACTTTATCCGAAACTCGCAAAAATTCAGCAAATTTCCAACTTTTTAATCAGATTTTTTTGAATTTTTTTGAGTATGCAAATTTGTAGACCAATCAATTTTATTATAATAAAGTGCAAGTTTTAAGAAGCTAGGAATTACCATTGATTTTAAGCAATTTTTTTTCACGCGGTCTCTTCAAAAAAAAAAATTTTTTTTTCGAAAATACTTTATATGAAAAAATGCAAAACACGTTCAACAACAAAAAAAAACCCCAAAAATTAACGCGATTTTTAGCTAACTCCGAACTTGCATTTTTTTACTGGAATTTAATGGGCTGCAAAACTACATACTCTAAAAAATCTGATTAAAAAGTTGAAAACTTTGATGAAAATTTGCTAATTTTTCGCGAGTTTTGCAAAGTTTAGGAATTATATTTTTATGTTCTTTGTTGTTGAATGAACCATATTTTTATACAAAATTGGCGGAAAAATATTAAAATATAAATTTTTGCACATATTGTGAAAAATTTGCTGTGCCAATACTTTGTTCCGGTAGTGTATTTACTTAAAATTTGCTTTAAACGACATTTAATTTTTTAGTTTTTATAACCAACTGCAAAGTTAATTATTATTTGTGGCTGAGAAAACATCCATATCAACAATATTAACTAGTAAGTAAAGTAAGAAATGGAATGTTTTATTTTAATATTATTAATATTTCTGGAAAAAACCACATAAATGGTAGCCGCTCAATTGGTTGTTGGATCATTTCTACCATTAACCATTTCGTGAAACATTTGATTTAAAAAATTTTGCAAGCTCATCACACTTGGCCAGAGAAATGTTGAAATCTCCTGCGAGAATTACAAGTCGATCATAACAGTCTACTTATCTTCATCTTCCCTTTATCATTCATCTTCTTCTTCATCTTCATCGTCATCTTCATCTTCATCTTCATCTTCATCTTCATCTTCATCTTCATCTTCATC